CAGGGGATGGTGAGCTCTCTGCACAGAGCAGCTAGATAAAACAATTCCTTTCCTAGCTGGGGACAAAGGACAACCAATACAAGTTTCAGGGCCAAGAGCAAAAACAACATGGACTGAAGGGAGAAAACAAGAAGGATGGGACTTTATAATCTGAAGGTGTAATTGGACAATTAACTCCAATATGCAAATGGACCAGAACTTATAAAAGTGAGAGACCCCAGGAGCGGTTTGTGCATTTTGTGACAATTTTGGTTCATCTCTGGTGTAGCCCTGGCTGGGCTCTTGTACTTCCCAAGGTGTATCCATTGAGGCCTTTTAATAAATCCCTACTTCATTCTTTAGCTCTGTCTGGCCTCTGTTCTAGGTCAGCTTTCTCAAGGCATCAGTTCAGTCTTACTGACAAGAATAATCTAAGCTCAGCACTGACAATCCTGAATCACTGAAAAATGTACATTTTCGAACACAGACACACACACACACACACACACACACACACACACACACACATTTTCCTTAAACTTAGCTCTTAATTTTAGCACAGCTAGGGTATAATTTTTGAACATGTAGGACTGACATTTCTCATTGCTATCCTTGCACTGGATCAACTTACCTGAAATAGATGACATCCATCAATTTTCACTTGAAATAATATTACTCACATTAGAAAAGCTCCTCTATAAATAGTATCTCAAACATTGACAATTGACTTAGAATGAGATGGCTACTCAGAGGTGAAAAAGCCATCTGGGATAATTTATTTTTTCCCCAATTGTAGAGGATATATATGTGCACACCAATCCCATCTATCTAACAAGAATGCTCTAATTCAGGAAGAGAAATAACTTTGAACTTTCATGCTGAGCAATACTTACACATAGGAAACCTTCAGATTAATTCCCATGAACTCCAAAGGCACACAGAAGTGCAGCCAACAATTGTGATTTACACCATCCTGCACATCCCAAAATACTTCCTGGTGATGCCTGAGGCTTTGCTAAGGATTGATGTGAGTCTGCTCTCAGGCTCATCTGTCCTCCCTTCTACCAGGCTGTCAACTTGTCTGCAGATATAACTGTGTTCTCGGTTTACAAAACGAATTTTTGGATACTGCTGAGTCAGCTCTGAGAACTCCAGGCAAAAAGGTCATGGAACAGACCATTCTCAGGGGCAGTCTGGAGTCACTCTTTCAAATACAGTTCCTGTGTTCCCTAAGATAGTAAATGCTTAAGCAAGATGCTATTTAAAAAAGGATGCCTGAAAGGTAGGTAACTCGTTTGGTCTGCTGCCCTTTAACAATAAAAAACTGGTTTTTTGAGACTGAGGTCCAGACGATGCATTAATTCTAGCTATGAGTACTATAAAACAAAGTGACATTTAAATGAAAAAATAGTTACGGTTCCAAATTTCCTTTAACTAGAGGCATCAAAACAAGTATTTCCTTTGCTTAGTCCTCACATTTTCTGCTCAGTCCCTGTTCAGGCTGTAAGATTGCAGTGATGGGACAGCCTGAGAGATCAGCAAAATAATCAAGGAAGGTAGAGAATAAACTGCAAAGAAGGGAACAATCACTTTTTGTTATAAGTAGAACTAAAATACTTCCAAATTCAAAAGACAATTGAGCACTACCTGCTGACATTACTAATTAGCCCACTGAGAAAAGAACTGCTTTGCTATACACTTACTTATCATCCAGCCCTGGGAAACTCATCCTTAACCACTGCTGTACAAAACACTAAGAAAAGCAGGTAATTCCTGGCATTTCTCGCCTTTTTTAAGACACCAGCAGAAGACACCTTCCAAACAGATTTTCCCTGGTTTTAGTTGGGAAGACGCAGAGGAACCGAGCTTGTTGCTGTGCTCTGCTTCACCCATGAAGAAGAACAGACACACAATTGCTGTCACAGTGCTGCTCCCAGCAGCCACCACATCCCCCTTGAGCACATCCCACCCATGGCACCCCTCCTCCCACAGCCCCTCTGCAGGCCGTGCGAGCTCATGGGCTGAGTCTCAGCAGCCCAGACTCTCCAAAGGCTTCCAATGCTGTAACAGTAGAAAGACAGAAAAATACAGCAAAAGTGCATCGCCCAAACCATTGAAGAGGTATTTCCTTCTGATTTTGAGAAAGTGCTGTTTGCAGTTTCTAATATTATTTTTGTATGAAAACCTGCACAAGAGGCGACTTCATTTAACAGTTCTCAAATTATTATACCCTGCAAATCATAAATTAAATTTGTGTGGCTAATGTGTGTACTAATCAGGTAACTATTTAATACAAATGTGAGTAAATGGACAAAACTGTGTTCAGGTTGAAAAACCACCTCTCCAGCTGCACAGGTACTTTAAAAATACATATTTGGTTTTCTCTAACCCTTACCTTAACAGGTGAGTTTATCATCATAATTAGTGCTTACCTGAACATAGTTTGGTGATTCTCTGATTTTAATTTCATAGACATTAAGTAAGGATTTCCTGTTTTGAGTCTAGAGGCACAGCAGTAGCAAAACACACACGATCTATTACCTGGATGAATATCTTGCATAATACTCAGGTAGGAAAACAAATCTGCATATTTAACACTGCCAAAGGGAATCCGTCATAACCAGTGCAAAGAAGGACTGGATTACATCAAGTATATTTCCAGTTCTTGCTTGAGGAAAAGTAGATTTAGAGTTAATCAAACAGCAATCAATCAACTGCATTATTAGAAGACAGGATTTTTCAGCTCTGGTTTAAATTCATGAAAAGACCTTGGTCTCTGCGTTGTGTTTAAGTGAGGGTGTGATCTGCTGCAGAACCTCTTAGTCTTTCCTCTCTAAAGTGGATCTACATGAATAACCACCAGGCACTCAACAATAAAGAGCTTTGGGATAGGTAAATATGTAGGGATGACATGAGGAGTCATTTGAAAGAAATAACAGAAGAGAGAAGGACAAGTAAACCCCACCATCAGCGGGGTTGTGTATCTATTGCAGAACTGCTGTGTAACCACAGCAGCACCTGAACACCAGAGCGCTGGCCAGGGCACCCTGGGCCCCTTCCCAAAGGGGCTTTTCCCCACGAGGGTAGAGGCATTTATAAGAAAGAAGATCAGTCCAGATCCTGTGGCAGCTACTTCTGTCTCAAAGAGAACACAATAAGGCTTACTTCCCCAAACCACTCAATTTCAATCAAAACACTTAAACAAAACAATCTCATGTGCAAATTTATGAAATAAAAAATTCAAGTGTAAGACACTGCTGAAGCAAAGATTTGGCTCCCAGTGAGAAATCCACCCATCAAAATTCAGTGCACCCCTCATACTGCAAAGTAGAAGTAGCTTCAAAAAAACTTAAATGACAGATACGTGGTTTTGGGAATCTTATTTTAGGTTGTTTGTTCGCTTGTGGGTTTTTTTTTTCCACTGGGCATTATTTTTGACATCATGTATCTATGTGCTGACAACCTCTTAATGATGATTTTATTTAAAAAACCACTGAATTTGACCATTTCTATCAGCTTATTGATACACATCCTTCTCACATACACCTAAATCTATGCTAGGGGGACTATCCACTGGCAGCTAGTGGCAAAAATTAATCCTGTTGGCAGCTGCAAGTAATTTGCAGATTATATGCAATACCAGCAGCTCAGTCACACCTCTGAGGTCAATGACAGCTGAGTCAGAATTATTGCTGACTTCTACCATTAACTTCTACCACAGAAGAATTGGACATGAAGCATTCAGACACCCCAGACTGGATCTTTTAAATTTCTTTTTATTTTTTTAATTTATACCACCATGAATCTTCCTTACACCAATTTAAATTTCAATGAGCTCCAAAGATGTACCTTAAGAAGAAGAGGAGCTTGTTGGCAGGCACATTTTTCCGCTGGCAGAATATGTTCCTCAAACAATTATGTCTTATCACAACACTCACTTAAAATTTTACATCAAACTGTATCATGGGGCCCTTTTAAAAACCCCTCATTAATGATGATTATGTAAGTACCATTAGATGTGAGACATTCCCATATTGCTCGTAGGAGTTATGATTTAATTCTGCTAAAATCTACTCTACATTTGTGTAATCACTCCTGACATTTTACCTTTTGTTTTGTAAAACATTATTGTCTGTCACAGGGGAAAAAAAAAAAAAAAAAAAAAAAGATGATATTTTGGTTGTCATTGCAATCTGATTGAAAAGATGTTATTAATTAAATCTTGCACACAGTTATACCTGAAAACTCACTGACAGCTCTTGGGGGAAAATATATTACTGGAAGACAGTTGTTATTTAGGTCTCTGAGGCAACACAAAGGCACTAATAAATCTCACACACATTCCTGTGAGTTAGGCTGATATTTTTCAGCATTTGTGGGGAATAATTAAGCTTTGGCCTTTCCTAGTGACCAGCATGGTTCAGAGTGGTCCATGACCCTATGGACCACTACAAAGGAATATTTGCACTTGCTTTAACTCAGGAGATGAGTTTGCAAACACACAGAAGCAGAGCTGAGAACTCACTGTCCTCACAAGACATAACACCAGGTTCTGGTTTAGAGAACCTAGGCTGAGGTTTCTACCAAAAGGAGGAGGACAAAGACATTTTACCAGAGCTGGAATTTTCATTTTCTGTTTGTCACTCATTGACTTATTTTTGTCATCAGAAAGGTTACAGAGGAAATACTCTTTCACAGGATAAATAAACAGAAACAGCTAAAAAATTCCAATTGTCTATAGCCAGAGCTTTGACCAATTTCCTTAATTAGCAGCAAGCTTCCTTTCACAGAAGTTAGTGATAGTCCTGCTCAAGTTAATACTACACTACAAATATGCACTGTATAAAATATATATATTCTCCTGAGTGGAGACAGTGTCCATCTCACAAACAAAGAGGAGAAATTTCTCAAGTTATTATAATAAACATTGGGGTTTTTTCAGCATTTTCATTTCGGTGCCCATATCTTTACAGGAAATAGGGAATTTCATCAAAAAAGGAGTTTTGAAAGTTCTTACTTACCTTGGTCACATGGGACACCGGGAATTAAGTTTTCCTTCATAATGTGCTCTTTGAGCTGGGGTTGGGGCTTCTGAGTGCTCTGAAGATACATGTGATGTGACTAGTGATCAAATTACTTCATGAGGGAAAGTTCATCACAGTCAGGGCAACTGCTTAAAATGCAACATAAACATGTCTGTGTCAATATTTTGACTTTGTGTAAACAATTCAAGCTGCATCACTCTGGAGGTAATGACACATAATGCTGTATAAAATGCTCTGAAACAGTTTTACTGAATTAATTTGCATTTGAGCTCTGGAAGAAAATTGGTCTGCAGTGGAAAAGTGTGAACTTCTGTGGTCCTGCTAAATATGATCCTAATGAGATCTGGAGCTTCCACAAGCATCCTGGGAAAGGGCTTCACTACTACAAGGTAAAAGGGAAAAGAATGATTTTCAGAGACTGCACTGTCTTTAATCCATTTACAGAGCTTCAGAAATTCAATATGACAGAGTGGAATATATGATTCTGCCTGAGTATAAATGACATATTTCTTACCACTCTGAGGCTGTACCTCTGGGCAAACACTTTTTCCCCCTTTTGTGCAATATCATGAGCTCAGGCTGGAAAGGACATTGATCAGTATTTAAGAATCCTGCTAATAAAACTAAGGGAAAGCAATCTGTACATAGGAGTTTATTTAGATGCCCACAGATTTTAAATCATTCCCCTTCATATCTCAGCCCACTGGGTATCTTATCCAACTGAATTACCATTGGGTTTTACAATGTGATATACAAAATGAGCTGACATTATGATTTACAAACATCCTTTGAGTATCATATAAAACACAACTCTTTCCCTTTTTATACAATCATCAGGGCAATGCAAATAGTCTCAATTCATTATTAGCTGAAAATGATGGGGCCTTTTATGAAAATAAATTTAACTTTACGACACAAAGCTGTTAACTAAAACAAAACCTGGTGAAAAAAATTGGAATAAAGTTATCTGAATGACTGAAAGTAATTTTATATTCTTTGCCACTGTCCCCTTATAAATGTAATAGTACTTCATTTAACAACTAATATTTTCACTGTATACTCACACTTCTTTCTTACTGATCAGTTTCACATTTTCTTCATGAAACTATGAAAAACTCACAAATGTAGACTTTCCAAACTGTAGCCACTATAGTTATTTCTGCAATCTTTTCCATATATTCAGTGTGTTTAATTAAATAAACAAAAAGAGAAAAAGACACTACACAAATGAGCAGAACAAAACACAACAGCACATTAAAAATGTGACATTTAAGCTGTAGATGCATCGCCATAGAAATATATTCTTGTTCTAATACTTTCTAGCCTGTGGAAAAAACCAGACATTACTTGAAGAGAATTTAAGATCTAACCTCCATATAGGGCTAAGAGTCTTGATTTAAATTCCTGTCTAAACTTAAGTCCCCAACAACACAGTAAATTCAAGTATTTTTGAATGTCATAAAACATGAGAAGATAAAATCTGTTTCTGAGCTGTTGGTAATGGAAGCTACCAAGCATTAAGGTCTCCTGTTGCTGGAACAGGTGCCTCTGCACTTTGTCACTATGGCAGCAGTCACAGGATGACAGACATCATTATTACCTTAAACACAAAAAAGGAAAAATTCTGAACTCATCAATGATGTTACAAATGCAAGCAAATTCTAACCTACTCAAACTATATAATCTTAAGGGTCTCTGACAGTTTTAGCACTGTATAATCCAGAGGAATTATACTAATGACTGGTGATTCCTCCTTGAATATGTGTTGAATTGGCAGGGGGATGGGGTTTTAGTTCCATTTCTCACCATAGAAGTCTTGTTGCTGCTCTGCATTTTTGAAGAAGAAAGTGCTTATTCTGCCATTTCATTCAGTTCATGGCATTTAATTTTATAGTTTAAGACAGACTTATTTTGATTACTTTCATTCTGTCCATACCTTTGAATGCTTTAAAATGTTGGACAGCTGTGAAATATAAGTATTATGCAATCTGACTGTACATACATACATATTTTCATAAATACATCTAACAGGGACCTTGGAACCAAGTATGTGATATCATGGGACAAAATCACAACAGGCTGTCTTATTTGTAAAATCTAGATTCAAAATAAGAAGAGCTGAATTCTATCAATGTTGTCAATACACAAATTAAAACAAAAAATACTGCATTAGTTTACCCATGAAATAACTTAAACATATTTGCAAATTTCTTGACAGGAAAGGGGTGTAATTTACAACACTGAAAACTTGTAGCAACCATTGATTTCTATATGCTGTGCTGGAAGTCACCCGGACAAGGCTAGCAAGGATGAGCATAGTGACAGCTCCCAAAGGCAACTCCCAAACATCTTCCTCTTTCGGAGACTTGGCTAATTGTCCGTTGTATAAAATGCCAATGCACACAGCTTCCTTCAGGTGGTAACTCCAGCAGTTTTCCTCCCTTGGTACAGTCCACTCTGCCCAGGTCAGTTGTTGTTGAGACACTCTAAATCCACCGAGCAGCAGACATTCCCGTTCTGCATGGACAAACAAGCAGGACAGGTCACAGGGAGCAAAGGGCTGGTGGCATGCAGACATAGGTGCATCCCTGACCATTACCACCTAAAAACACCTGCCCCCAACACCCAGGGTGTTGGCATTGCTCCCAACAGTGGCTCTTTGAGGAGGCCAACTTTGCCAAATAGCACAGAACTGGCCTGAACTACCACAGGAACTTGAAACCTGGATGTGGTCCCTATAAAAAAATACAGCACAGCAATGGCAACAGATGACTGGATCTTTCTCTCATGCAAGAAGTTAATGGAGAGAATTTTGATGTGATCCACACAGGGAAGCTTTCTGCTTGTCTGAAATTAGAAGACAGGTCAGGTGCTTGGTTCATGGCAGATATGGAGGAGATAAGGGCAACATCAACACCATACATCTTTGGAATTTAATCCATTGTTAAGTATCCTTTTCTAACACACAGTCATTTATAAAGATATCTTAGGTAATAAAAAAGTACAGCAACTACTAAAAGCCCAAATGAGCTTTTTTTTTTAGTTTTTTTTTTTACTTTTTTTTTAATCCATCACAAATCTAAAGGAAAAAACCTCAAAAGAATGGTAGAAACACTACCTTCAATAATTTAAAGCCCTGGGGCAATAGCTTTCTCTCCTAGAGTGAACAGAAGAACATTTTATGTAACCCAAAATATTTTCATAATTGTGATATTAGCACAGTGGGGTCACCACTGCACAAAGCAAGGGAAATAGACTGCACTCCTGCATGAGAGCCATTGGATTAAATACATCTTGATGAGATCAGGGAACAGAAACTGTGACATTCCCTTCCCATCACTACTGTGGGAGTGCCTTTATCTCAGAGCTGCAATGCCTTTTAACTTGTGTATTTGCTGGTGAAACTTTTATGGTAGTGCTTTTCCTTCAGCTTTCCAGTTCTGTAATACACATTTTCATGAACATCCACACTAGGTAATTATTGAAATGTTACTCTTGACTCATACTGAGAATGCCTGAAGGGCACTTCAAGAGAATGAAAGTTTCACTAGGATAGTAATACATCTGTGCTCAACATTTCAACAAGGAGAGAATTGTTTTGCTTATACTCTGCCAGACAGAAAACACATGGGTTTTCTGTTGGCTCTCAGGTCTCATTTACTTCCCCAAGATCTTAATGTGAGCCTCCAGGGAAAGAAATGGACCCCAATTTCATCAGACACATTCCAAAACCATTCCACCTGGCCCATCGTACCTTGCATTTGCAGGTTGTACAAGGAGATCCCACCATTGTCCACACAGCACCGCTAAGCCTTGTGATTCCATAACCATCTGGACAGGTTTTCCTGATGTCATAGGATATGTTGTCAGCCAGACAGGGGTCACTGACACAGTGAGGACAGCAGTCTCCTTCTGAGATGGCTGTGTACTCGCAGTTCAGGGTCGGGCACTGAAGAGGCCAACAATCCACCTCTCCGTCCTACAAATATTGAAGCAAGTGTCATTGTACTTGCCATTTATGAACCAACAAGAAACTATGTACCCTTTTGAATGAGAAAGTATTGTTTCACCAAAATTGCAACAAACTGAATGGTTCAGACCTCAGTTTGGTTGATCACACAAATACATATTTGCATACTGAGCTGAAGTTTCCTAAATGTAGCAGATTATCATTTGGTTGATTCCTGACTAAACAACAACACTCATCATTGTAGCAGGAGAACTTGAGTTCTTTGGGGCTTTTGAAGACAGGGTTAAATACTGGGTACTAATATTTTGTACAAACTGTAATTTTTGCTGTGATTGCCTTGCAGACACATGCACTCTTTCTACTCCTGGTCACATAAACATCTCTGCAGGATCACAGCAAGCCTTTAAAAAGAAAATTAACATTGCAGATAGATGTAGGTTAGTATGTTGGAGAAGCACCGAACATCAATCTAAGTAGCAACTGCCAATACCAACTTTATTGTCAGCTCCTAAAGGAATCATTAGAGCAATACCATTTGTGTTCCACTGACTCATTTTTTTCCACCATTTATTCATTTTTAATTTTATTATTATTTTTATTTGAAAAAAACTTGAAACACTTTACCAGTTAGAGAGACAGATGGAGAAGACAAAAACATCAGGTCACTTCTGCACAGTATTTCTCAGTGCATCTAAATTTAACTTGGAAAGGTCTTCAATAACTTGCTCTATACTGCTCTGTAAACACTTCAGATGCTGAGAACATCACACACTGCACAGAACAACACTGATTTAGGGCATCACTGTCTTACAGCTTTGGATGTTATCCCAATCATAAAATTAGGCAAGAAACTGCAAGCCACAACCTCAATACTTAGTCTGTGCATTATGGATAATTACCTCATGACAGTAACTTAGCTTTGAATGTAATTTCTTTCCTGATTCTCAGACACCTCTTGATTATAACATATATAAAGACTGTGTTATACAGACAGCTATAAATGGAAAACTGATCATTTTAATGAACTTCATTGATGCACTAATTAGCATATCTATGAAAAACCTAAAGCTTTAAGGGAATAATCTGTAGTGTCTAATGAGAAAATAAGTGATCATTATTCTGTATGTTTTTCTAGTAATTTCAGTCTTCTTTATCCTTATTTGGTTAATTTTTTCTAATTCATACAGTGGCAATGGCACTCCATGTTTCCAGATTTGCAGAATTCAAACAAACAAATGAATAAATAAATAAACTTATTATTCCTTTTGACAAGACAAGCCCACCAGATGTAATTAAAAACTGAAACTTCTCCAACCAACTCCATCACATGCGTATAAGCTTTGAAAAAGTCATTAAATAGCAGACAACCTTATAAAAGTTAGCAAAAGCAGACTAATGCTAAAATTAACATAGTGCCAAGATTTCCAAGCTCTTGTCGAGTTTTCAATTTTTCTCATTAGACCTGCTTATTCAGCAGTACGACAAAAACTGATGGTGTAGCTGTCAGTTCTCTGGGGCTCTCTAAGTGCTTTATCATCACCCCCAGTCTGAAAAGCAGGTGGAGAAAGAGCCAGGAGCCTGCCTCCAGTGCTGTTTTGCTAAAAGCCATAATCCTTATTATTCTCACTCGTATCCAAAGTGCTTTGCTCGTACCAGGCAACGGCACTGCTGGCAGCTGTAGGTCCAGTTGTCCCCGCTGCGGTAGAGCTTGTGCCCCGTCTGGTCGAGGCACTGGCTGGTGACGCGAGTGTCGCACTCCGGGCAGCAGAAGAGGTCGGCGCTGGGGTTCCTGCAGTCACAGGCTGTTCTCCGGCAGAAAATCCTCCCGTCCTGCAAGCACACATTGCCCTGGCATCAGCCACAAACCGCCAGGCAACAACCCAGGTAAGGGCACAGGGGGTGTACAGCAAAGGGCACATCTTTGGCTAATCAGGAAATATTAATTTCTTAGTGTATTCCATGCCAGTAAGGAGTGGATCTTGCCTGTCATAATACAACAAATACCAGTACCATCCCACTTTCTGTCAGTGCATGGATCCAGTTCTGTCTGAATCTGACAACACTGTTTTCCTGTCTCCAGCCAACTGAATTTAAAAGCAGTCAGTATCTCAGTGAAATACAGTGAAGCCATTTCATATCTCATTGATTACATCAACAAACTCTTCAAGCAGTTGCCACTCTAATACATATGATATTTATTTAGCACTATTTTGACTGAATGTACGACTGTGAGGAAAATAAGTTGAATAAAGGTGATCCCTTTAACTTATTCAGGGCAAAATATAGCACAATCACAGTAGCAGTAATTGTTCTTTATTCGTACCTCTGTATCTGTCCCACATCTGGGCCTACACTACGCTAGCTCAAAGATAAAAGAACCTATCATTTATTATAATTCAGTGCATGCATTACTGAGGGCCTGGATAAAGCTATATTCTGCTTTGACTCACAACTATACAATTCCTAAAGCAACTCCATTCATTTCATTGCAGTTTTTCCTAGCCTCATGGGAACTTTGTTCTGAGTCTATTATCTGATGTAAGGAAGGAAATTTCACTGACACCAAATACAGGAACACATTTCAATGCAATGGAGTTTATTTCCTCTGATCCTTGAAAAAAACTTATTTCTAATAAGAGCGAGTGCAGCCCAGGATGTCTGTTCCACAGGCAGACAAAACAGCCATAAGTACAGGAAAGGATCACAGAACGGTTTGAGCTGGAAGGGACACTAAAGCTCATCTTGTTCTAACCTCCCCTGCCATGGGCAGAGACACCCTCCACTAGAACAGGCTGCTCACCTTGTACCATATCTGACGTAGAGGAACCAGGGTTTGGTTCCCATTTTAAAGCAAAGCCAGTCTTGTCCACAATGCAACATGTACAAAATCAGCATCAGGGAATCACAATGCCATGTCAGTTCAGTGGCACTGCTGCATTTCATCATAGTTTTGAATGGATTAGAACACTCCTTGTTATCGTAAAAATAATTATCATTATTTCTTATGCCTAACAAGCAAAGCTGAAGACAACACAAAATTATGAGAAAGTAGAAAACATGCCAGGTTAACAAGGGTCTGAACTTTTGCAACTGCAGGGCACATATTACTCTACAAGCTTTGTTCAGCGTTGTACCAAACTAAGATAAGTATTCTGTACTAGTGCCTAGATTGCCACTTTAGCTGTGGGAGGAGGGATAAACCATCTTTATCTCTTTACTCAGCAGTCTGAGTAAATCACAAGGAAGAATGGCAGTAGCCCATTTCCTTAGCCAGGTCCAGCTGCACATCAAAAGCCAGCTTAGCCCAGCAGTTCTGTCAGGATGAGCAGCACCAGGCTGTGACAGGAATCCAGGGAGCCTTGACCATGGCAGTCTCTCTCCTCTTCTGTGCTGATTAAAAATGGCTAACAACAGCCCATCTGCTTAAATGCAATTCAGTTTCTAAGCTTTCAAAATCAGTTTTCAAATTTCTCCTTTCGGCTGGTGACACTGCTGGTAATTCTGTGTTTCCCTGAGCATGTTCTACATTGCTTTTACTTTCCATATTTCAGAACACTGAAAAAGACTGATGATTTTTTCAGAGAACTTTTGATAACCACAATACACTGCTGCTCTATTTAGTCTCTAAGCACCTGTGTTTTGTGTACAACCTCATTAGCTCTGTACATTTCAAAAAACATTTTTATCCCTATACTGCAGTGGCACAAAGCCTCATAAGCTACAGTATCTCATGTGCATCTTTGCAGCTCAGCAGTAGCCCAGAGAAATACATAAAAAATTGAAATATATATATATAGAAAACCTTATTTTCTTTAGGTGAGTAATAATGTACAGCATCTTATTACTACCTTTCCTTCTCACCTTACTCACTGAATCAGTTCTACATTCTTCAAAAGCATCAGAGGTATGCTCACAAAAATTGTTATCAAAGGAAAAACTGACACAGAAGAGGACAGCTGTTAAGGCTGGTCCAAGTTTTCACAGAGCCTCAAAGCCAGTCTGGAAAGAGATCAGACTCTGCAAAAACCAAACCACCAAATGGTTCTCACCCTCAGGAGCACACATCAGCTTGGCAGACCCCCCTGCTCCCAGAGCTGCGTGTATCTCCCAGGCCTATTTAACACAGGCAAGGGAAGGCTGCCTTAACCAGAAGACAGATGCAAAAGCCCAGACAGCACAGCCAGGCTTTGCTTTTTTCATGAGAGCACAATAGCTTCCCACTCCAATTTCTACCATTAAATGTGATGGTCTATTAGATCCACAGTAGCTCAGAAAGTTGCCTATACAAGACATGTCAAATGTATTAAAGGAACAATGTTACTTTATAGTTTTGAGAATTCATGATTTTGTAAACTTTATGTACATTTAGATGAACAAGAATGGTTTGATGACACTGGGTCCAGTGAAACACTGAAATAGCCTGTGCTTCAGTAATGACACTTTGCTTCATTATATAAATGAAGCAGTATAATTTCCTCAATTCTATAGTATTCTTCTTCACAAATAGCTTTGAAGTTCATTAAGTAAGGTTAATGTATTTAATTTCCTTTGTACCAGATTGCAAGTTAAAATATTTTAAAGATGGTAACTATGTGTTTCAGCCAATGCACAGAATATATCCACCTGTCCTTTGCCAGAGCAACTACAGCAGAACAAAAGCCTTTTTTTTGGATAAAACAAGTAAGTAGGATCATTGCAAAGTCTGAGTAAGTAATATAAGGAACGGTTTAGTTATATTCTGCTCTTTTTCTCACTGCAAACTGAGCAGGCTGCAAAAGATCAAGGAGGGGCAGTTTTCTGTGCAACTGCATGAAAGGGAGAGGTTTGAGTAGTCTGGTGTAATGGAAGCTATCAGGATGTATAAAAATGTATTTCTTTAAACACTGAGTGAAGACTTTACATTCTGCCTGAAATGTGACATCTAAGGAGCTCTTCCAGTTTTCCTTAATCTGTAGACAAGAATTTGCTCTTGAAACAGGCAGCTACTGGAATAAAATTAAAGGCAAATGTTAATTCACAGAGGGAAAAAGTGAAGTGAGAAAGACACATAGTAAGAGTCATAACAAAAGTGTCAGGCTCAGTTTTAACTATGTACTAGTTAATCATTTCTGTACTTTCATATTCTAGTGAGAACATTCAACATAAGATATACATGCAATGAGAAATGGTAAATAACACAAATTTCAAGCAATCTAAAAATGTGAATACTAATATTTATAATTCTGCAAAGGCAGACCAGATGTCTCCACATATATTAAACTGCTTAGTCTACTGACTGGAAATCCTTTCATAAGCTTGCCATCTCCCCAAGATTACCATAAAAGCTTGCTATATATTCAGTAAAGTTGTACACTTCAGTTTCTGAAAGGAGGAGTTTTAGGGAGCTTGAAGCTACTTGAAGTAAAAAACATAGCAACTCACGAGAACATACTCCCTACTGAGCCCAAAGCAGCAGTGTACTTTTTAGGTTTTATTCACTCTGAAGTCTTAGTTTTCCCTTCTGCTGCACCACTGCCAAACAGAAAGGATGAGGCTTTCAGCTTCTTGCAACTTCAAAACACCTCCTTCCCTTTCTTCCCCTCTGCTTCTCCGGCTCCCAAGCATTGAGATATGGAGACTGATAGGCCAATTCCCATGCTCCATCTTCAGCTTCTCACAGAGGCCAAAACCTAATTTTACCTGAATTCATGTGTGGGCCTATAGTGCTCTGCTGTGCCTTTGGACAACTATGAGCAAATCAGGTCAAAGTGACCATAAAACACCAGCCACTTCTCAGATTAGGGTGTTTCTAAAATTCTTCTGATTTCAAAGAGAACATTCCTCTGTTAACTAGTGAAAATCAAGAAAGCAGAGCCAAATGCTCTTCTAACTTGATTACCATAAGAGGAAAAATTTTTAAAAAAGGGTACTGTCCAGGGGAAAAAAACCAAACCAACAACAAAAAATCCCCACCCTGATCTAAATGTTACCTCTTCAAGGTACCTCCACTGGTACCAGACCTGGCTTCTCCAAACAAGCAGAGAGAGCTGCATTGCTCAAGTGCAAGACCTGCCAACACAGCCAAGGAAAAAGCTGGGCTTCACCCTTCTTCACTCTGAGGAAATTAAGTGCCTGCTGCTGGGTCCTCTGACCTTTCACTCATGCGCCCACCTTTCTTCTCACCCAGTTAATTCAAATGTGTTCCAAGCAAAGGGAAACACAGCCAACAGGAAGTAGGCTGACTACAGTGCTGAGAGATGCATATTCATACAAAAGAGAAATTAAAATAAGTTTTCAGCATTTCCATTAAGCATGCTGGAACCTGCACATTGTGTTAAAGGGTAATGCAAGACCCTCTTTAAGGCACACTCTGAAATGCTCTGGCCCACAGGGTGACATGGTAAAAGCTCAGCAGGGCTAGCCATTATTCAGATAAGTGTATGGTTGTGCAAATCAAGAAAATAAATGCCTTCCCAGAAGAATATCCCCATCCCAGCTTCAGTGTCCACAGCACAGCTTACCTCTTGCCTTGGGCTTAGGCTAATATTTCTGCCAACAACAGTAGCAGCTGACATGAGCCCAGAGAATTAAAGGATTCCTGAACTCCAGGGCAGCTGGATCTCACCTTGCAGGAGCAAACGGAGCATCTGTCCTCTCTCAGGGTCCACACCTGCCCGTTCCTCTTGAAGCCACCTTCATGGGGACAGTCTCCAGTGCAAGACGGCCCGGATGGACAAAGGCAGTCAAACCCTCCTGCCAGGTTCACACAGGCTGAATCATTCCAACAGGTGTGGATCTTTAAGGCACACTCATCGATATCTGCAAAACAGCAGATTTATAAAAGCTTTGGGCACATTTTTCATGGGTAAGTTTTATTTCTGAATTAAGTAATTATTGCTTATTCTGCCTTGTTGGTGGATGAGGGTGCATTCCTTTTTACATCTGCCTTATTTACTTGGGAAACTTTAAGCACTGATGGTTTTTAGGTTATTCTTCAGCATTTACTTTGATTCCACAAAGAATTCTTAAATGATCTCCATCAGGCTGAGTTGTAAATGCTGAGTCTGAGGTACCTTAGTGAAACCATTTATCAGTGACAAATCTGAACCTTCAGAAAAATGTGCATACTCATTTCCCAGTGACTGGAAACTAGTAAGCAGAGTGACTTTCTGTTAACTAGACCTCTCTCTGTTCTGGGTTTTACATCAAAATAGAGGTGCATTATTCTTTATAATTTCCTAGCACAAGCAACATTCCCCATACTAAAAGCAGTCAGTTGCATCCTTTTGCCATTGTCGGAAGGTGTAAGTGAATTGGAAAAAAAAAAAAAAGGAAAAAAAAAACCCCCAAACTCAGAGGCACCTTATAAACAAAAAAAAATGTCTTCAAGCTATGCAAGATGATTTAGCAATGACACAAAGAATAGGTGACAAGAGAAAATGATTATACACCAGAGAAAAGCAAATTACAGTATCCCAATAAATTTGCTCTTGGAGGGTAAAATATAATTATGCAATATGAATTTATCTAGGGAGTTCATGCAGTGTTCTTTTTCTTGCAATGAAAGCTGTTAGATTTTTAAGTACATTGTTAAAAATTGGTGTTTCTTTCAGACAATAACTTTGGACTTTTCTTAAACAATATATAGACAAATTGTCCAGATGAAATACCAGTAAACTGGTAGGTCTCTTTTGTTCCAACATGAACAATGAAAACTGTAATCAGCAGTGGAAGGAAGGGTGGAAAATAAAATCCTTTAGAAGTATGTGACAGTTTCTGTCATAATAGTTCCAGAATAGCATTAGATAAATTCAGAAATTACAAGGAAGAACAACCATACTTATAATTTGAAGTGACCTTATTGCTAGGGTGAAATTTTAACTGTTCAATATTGCCCAACACTACTTTTAACTTCCCTCTAAACCAACAAAGCCAAAAGAACTTACAAAAAAAATTACCTAAAATCTAATTTAGGTAGGATGAGATGTCCACTGGCCGTACTTTTAGGACAAGTGCCATAGGTTCATGATTCATTACCTCAAAATGTCCTATCTTAAAAAGACTAAGAATTCTCTCATTCTGCTGAAGGAAACTCTTTACAACAATCATATCACTAAATTCAGTCTGGTTTGGATAGTACAATTCCTGATTTCAATTCACAAATACTCCAGGAACAAGTGGAAGCATGGTCATGCCCTTGGATTTGATTAAATGCGAAAATCAGTCTGCACAACCGAGTCAAAGCTTTGGGCTGCCAGAAAATGACTGTTCCTTATTGTACTTATAGATCCAAAGGGAAGCTGGAGGCAATTTTACTGCCTTACAAGGCTTCACTCCTGGGCTCACCTGTGGGCCAGTCCTTTGCACAAAATGTTCCCAGTGGCCTGACAGCATGATTCAATTGCTCATCACCCAGACTTGCTTAAAAATGGAGCATTTTGCTGTCCTGAAAGTCTTAATTGCCAGAAAAGAACATTGTTGCCATAGTGCACAACTTAGCCATAAATGAATACTTGAAATATTCGCTACTGGTGGTGAAAAAGATGCAGCACTAAGAGAAATTGAAACTTGTAGTTCATTGTTTAACAAGTGCCAGAATACTGCAGGAAGTAAAAAGCATGAAGACTGACGTAAAGAGAACTATGAATGAACTGGTATCAAATGAATTATATCCAAACAGCTACTGTAAAACTTAAAACATTCTCAAAGATATCCCATTTTCCTTTCAATAGACTTTGACTTATATTTTTTGTTGAAAACAAAGGTATAAATGAAGTATTCACTTTGCCTTTGGTGGTTTCAACAAGAATCATCAATATTGGCTTCCCTACCACATTAAGAGCTCCTTGACTACAATCTGTATAGGACGTAGTAGAATAACAGTGCATATTAGAAGGGTAGATTTCACAGTTCAAAATTAAAAGGATTTCACAGATGAATATAAAGCCATATTGCCTACAGAGTTGCATTTAATTGGTTTACTTATGACACTGAAATCTAATTCTCTTTCCATGTAATTTAACAGATTTATGGAAAGCCAGATGTTAGCAATTATAGAAACTAACATTATTCATGTTTCCAGTAGTACAGACCTGTTCCCACAAAGCCAATGTAATCTCTTATGTGTATGCAGAATGGAAGAACACCCTGTTTATGTACCTCTGCTGCTGTTCTGCATTTAGCACACATCAAAAGGATGTCCCCAATAAGAGCAGCCCAAACTGGTAAATGGGTAATTCTTGATGAAGAATCAAGCAAAGCATGAATAAAAGTTCCTAACTGTTATGCAACTTTTTGGTTCTTTATGCAATAATAGTTCATTATTCTTTTATGGCATTTATTATTTAAAAGTTCTAGTCATTAGTCAGATAGAAAAGGTTTGGACACTGCACTCATTCTCAGAGGAACTTTTAACAGAACTAACTTTTTGAGAATATCCCTTTCCCTTTGGCAGTTTTTTTTATTGTCGTTGATTGCATTTCCTAAAGTCAGAACAAACAGACAACGTTCTTAGTAACCTGAGGGAAAAAAGTTACAAGCATGACACGTTTTTGTCCCTGTCACTCCTTCAGCCTGAAACCAGACTGGGGGCGCGGGGAAGGAAGAAGACCCCAGCCAAATGCTCCCACATTGTGAGCTCTCAGATAGGTGCAGAAAGTATTTTATTTTAATGAAGATCAAATGGCCATATCAGTGTGAGATCAGCATGTAGGTGGCTATGCAAAGCATGAACGAAAGTACTTGTATTTAGTGTGAAATTTCTCTTTAACAACTGGAATCAATGCGTCAACTTAGGTGTTGAAAAGTTAGCCTAGTTCAGTTGTCCAAAACAATAATTTAGTGAATGTGGAAACTATGATGAGACTTTTGCATTTAGCTTATTTTTATCGTATTCAAATCCTGCTTAGCTGAAATTCTCCATGTCCCATCAGGTTTCATTTGTTTTCCCACAACTGTTCTCAAAAGATGCAGGCCCAAACCTGGAATATTTAAAGATGGGCAAGGCAAAACTACACACAAATCTCATTTCCAATTATACCAACACAAAACAGGAAGGAGATAAAATATTAATTTACAAATCAAGCAAATTTGAAGACCACTGGAAATAGCAAGGAGACTCCTTATTTTTTCCCTGTATATAAAGGACAAGACCAAAATATCTGTCTTTATGTTTTGAGGGATCAATTCTTTCATGTATCCTGTCAACCTATGGAAATAATCTGATTTTCACACTTGAAGTAGGATTTTGCAATTTTATTAATTATACTGAGATTCTCTGTGACAAAAACTACTAATTCTCTCAAATAAAAGTGGTAGAGCTTTTCTTCCCCTCTCCAGACAGTTCCTTTTCAAGGAGAAGTGAGGATATAGTGGAAACACCCATACTGAGCAGAAATTTGCTTGTACTGCAAAGCTTTAAGCAATTTTCTATCAACAACACAGCAGCAGCAAAGGGATTGCTGCCAAGACCCTCACACAACTCATCAAGATCTTCACTCTTCAAACTCTCCAGTCAGTGCTTCTATAAACAAACACACTGCCACAAGTACCTGACCATACGCACTTTAGCAATCAGTCACATTTTATGGATGAAAAAAGAAAGAAAACAAAACCACCCAAGAGGTGCTCATTTCCAATATACTCTCAAAGTACATGGATAGCTCAGTAATGTGGGCAGACAAGCAAACAGAATCAAAATGGAAGTAAATAATCCCCTGAGATGCAATTTCCTTTTCCATCCTTTTTGGCTGTAATGAGAACCAATTGCCTCAGATATTATGAGAGGTCCCACTGCATTTGAATCAGGTAGAAGACAAGCATGACTGTACAGATCAACACAAGTTCATTAACTTGGTTTCACTGAAATTTTAAATCAATCCCTAGCTACTTCATTTCTTAGTTTTCAAGGCTATCCAGGTTTTAATTGTAAGACTTTTTCACAGCACCTTAATAAATGTGTGCAAGCAAGCCATGCAGTGTGGCGCTCTGTATCATCATGATAAGCTGTTGCAGAAGAAAGAACCCTACTAATGTGATAATTTTAACTGTTATGGTACATTAAACCATTACAGTATATTGTTAACATGAAAAATGTAAGCTGGGCTCCCAAACCAATGTATGTACAAGTTAACTAAACACTGTTTTGACAAATCATTTTTCACAGACAACTTGTCACTTAATGATTTTTTGCCTTCTTTTTAAATCAAAGTTATTTGGAGTTGTCCTTGAAAAATACTACCAAACAGATTCATTTTTAGCTAGAAAATATTTTATGGTAGTACTTTTATTCTATAGAGACATAATGGTCTATTAAAGAACAGTGCACAATAAATTAGATTCTGAATAAATAATTTACTAAAGCTTTCTAAAAATATAGAAATTATTAAACACAACTATCTTGAAGATATGTAACAAAATTTTCTGTCAGAATAGAAAAATTAGAATTTACTAGATGGAAAGTAAGTAATACAACCTTTATTTTACAGGATAAAATTCACTGACACCAACTGTGATACTGTGAGCTTTAAGAAATTCTATGAGCAGAACAGAAGAAAGCTGTAAAATAGCAGGTCCTGTTTGGTCTTGGATACTGTGTACCACATGCAAACCTTTCTACCTACATAGCATTTCCCTACCAACAGATAGGAAAGTAATTCTCAGGCATATGGGAAGATTTTTAAAGGATGGGTCTTTTCATTTTTTTGTGACACAGAAAGGGACAAAAATAAAATCTAACATCCTTTGCTTTTACTTTCTAATCTAGATAAGAGACACCACTGCAGCATGCCATGGAGTACATGAAAGCTGCAGGAACAGAT